ATTGATTGATTATATTAATAAGTGCTATATGTTTTTTAGATGATAATAGTTCTAAACTTTTTACAGAAAACAAACATTACATTTATGTTGCAGTCATTTCACAAAGAGGCTGTATATCATGCAGAAAAATTTGCAAATGGTAATCAGGAAATAATATCTGTAGCTGTAAGCTCAATTATTTTTCTTTTAGATGAAAAGATGTAGAGATTTAACCATGCTCGAAAAATGTTCACTCATATTGTATGGATTTTAGGTAGTAAGTATCATATATACATATAGATTTAGCCATCAAGGAAATAAATCTATTTGAAAATAATGACTCAGTATCAAACAAGACAATCTTGACTGATACTGATGTTTCAGAAATAACAAATGATCGTGAGCCATGTCGAGATCTTTTACGAAGTAGTCTATTTTATAAAGATTTCCTTCGTATTAAATGTGAAACCGAAAAGATTATGCCGAAAGAAGGATTTATTAATCGTTTTTCTTCCCAGGTTTCTTAAATTATGTAATGGACAGGTATATTCCAATTATATCTTTGTGGTCAGGTCTAATGTTGGATAATGACAGAAAACATTAGTATTCAAATGCTGCTGTCGAATCATTTTTCAATACATTAAAGAACAAAATCTGCCATGGTGATAAATATATGGAAGCAGGACATTTCGTGGTGAAATTGAGAGGTATGTTGCGACTTGCCAATAATGATTTAATAAATAAATGCCCTGTAACACAGAAACTTAATCCGGTCAATTTTTACCTATGTAGGAAAAATGCAATTCCTTTGCATAAATGTCTAGATTCAAATAACTCTGCTGACTCTAGCACATATCTAAAAATAGGTTTGTATCCTAACAATAATGTAGCTATAGATTTTCATTTCTATATAAAACCCTTCATGTATAATAGGGATATATTGTATACTATAGGATCTTTTGGTTAATATGCCATTAAATTGAATAATTTTTTATTTTATATGGATATGAGTGGTTAGATGACAGAATCATCGACTTACTTAGTATCAATTGAATATGATAGCAAAAAATTCAACATTTTAAGTGTTATGAATATGATCATATTATAAATTATAATAATGATAACTTTGTTATAAAATTATCATCAGATTTAAAGTATCTAGCGCCACATAATTTTAATAACCATTGGCTCTTAGTTTTAATAGATATAGATAAAAAACAATTCAGTGTTATTAATTCTTGCATTGATGCTGCAACAGATTATTTTATTTTTAGTCAATTTCGTAAAAGCTGTTTAACTGAAGCAGAAAGATTCCAATGGAATTTTCATAAAATAATTTCTCCTCGGCAGACCGATGGTCATAGTTGTGGACTTTTTACAATAAAAAATGTATTATGTTTGTTAAATAACACTGAATTAAACTATAAAATCGAACCTAGTGAATATAGAAAACAATTAATGACAGAGTTTTTGGAAAATATCTCACCAGTTGACAATATTTGTCCAATTTGTCCAACTTGCCAACAGATCGCCCCTCATATTATACATATATAAAATGCAATTCATGGTATAAACATACACTAAATTCTGAATTATCACTTATGAAATGCAAAAATAAATGTAATATAAATTTAAAGTCCTCTAGTGATTCCTGGATCAGTTGTGGCATGTGTAGTCGATGAATACAATTTGATTGTGATAAAAGCCTAGCTTCACAATCTTTATCGCCAGGAGCTGTAGGAAGTCCTGATTTTAAATATTGTTGTTCACTTTGTGCACTGCACAAAAAGAATAATACTTATCCAAAGCTTGGATATTAAATAAAAGACTGTCATAATAAGAAAACCAAAATTCTCTATTTGAGATAAATGGTTATCATGAGATCTCATCTCATCTATTTGAAGACGGTATAAAAAGATATTGTATTAACAATATCTGCACACTGCACAAATAAATGCCGTTGTAAGTTTTTTGGCAACACAAGTTCAGAAACCTTCTCGTGGTTGTTGCTGTTATGAATGGTAGAATATAATGTGACTTTTACATATGATTTACATTTGTTATATTTTATTCTATCACTCAACCAATGTCTGAACACCTAATATAAAGATGTTAATACGAAATAGATTTATAATCAAGCATACATTTTATTTCTGCTCTGTGTTGTATATTTGTATTTTATATCAAATTTTGTTATTATAAAAGCATGTTACAAAAATGTGACTTTATTTAACATTCAACTAGTATCTGATTATTCAATATTAACAAAAATTATTATTAGTAAAGAAAAATTATTATTACGAAAAGCATCAAATTGGCCGTAGAACTCATATATGCGATTGGCAAAGTCAGTTGTTAGGGCCGAGAGACGCATATAAAAGTCCAGACTAAATACATGCCAAGGAGATCAATGTTAATGAACCAAACTGAATCGTTTTAGTTTAGTTTAGTAAATAAGTTCTTTTAATTCTAACTCCGCTTGATTAAGTTTTGTTTATTTAGTTTTCATGTAAACATAGAAACGTCGTCGTCCAATTTATAAGCTCTTATATTTTGTCTATAAAATACAAATAACAAAAGTTACAGAATTTACGAAATTAAATCTATTTGAAAACATTTAAAATTTTTCGAATATCATTACAGTATGGAAAGCATCAGCAATGTGTGTAAAGACATGATGCCATGCACCACTAGTTTTATTTACTACTATCTTATTTTTTTCACCTTTGTCAGTGAAAATGTTCAATTGATCCTTTTTACCCTAACCACATGTAAGCTTTTAGAAAAGTTGTATAAAAAATCTGTTGCAACTAAAATAAATATAACAATGCATAAAACAATTAAATGTGTTTCAAAAAATTCAAGTGTTAGAGTAGATAAAACTAGTGGTGTATAGCATCGTGCCTTAAAGCAAATTGCTAGACCTTCCCGTACCATAATGAAATATTCGATTCGAAATATTTTAAATGTTTTGAAAATTAAGTAAAAAAATCTTTCTTCAAAAGCAATCGTTTTGTCAACACAAGCAGAAAGTTTTTCAAATCATTCAAATCGGAACTTATCCAAAACTCAAATCGCAAACTTACCCTATGGAAAGTTAATAAAATAATTTAAAAAAAAAAAAATTAAGCTTTTTCATTAACTTTCTGGATCAAAATTCAAGAAAAAAAACGTCCACAAAAAGACAATAATGGACCAGTTATCGATCAGTTTAAAAGTGATTAATAAAATTGGAAAGTGCGGTAGGAAGGTAAAAAATGATGGTTGAATGCAAGTAATTTTTAAAAATCATCTAAAAACGCATCTAAAAAAAGATAAGAAAATTGATCCTATACATTAAAGAGTGTTGACTCGATGTAATAAATGAATTCCTGAATTCCTTTGTAGATTTACAAGTGCAATTTATACTTTCAAGTTGATTTTAAACACAATAACTGAATATCGCAGTATTTTATTACATAAATATAAATGGTTAAAAAAAAACATTATTCAACATGTAACAAACAAATTAACAATTACCAAATGCAAATGACTTTTTGTTCACCAAGTCAATCTTGTTACGTGATCCCTTTTTTTATTTGAAGATTTTATGAATCCGAGATGCTGCAATTCGGAAACCATACTTGTGAATCTGGCTCTGTTAAATAAAGAGAAAAATGAATAAACAAATAGAATAAATGAAATATCATTGATACTATCATTGAGATATATTGTGATGTATCAAATTCTATATATATATATATATATATATATATATATATATATATAAACAGGGCCGGTCCTGGGGTCCTTAGCGCCCGCATGCAACTTTTTTTTCTAGCGCCCTCCCCCCTATCAATATTAACTGCTTTAATAGTTTATCATTTAAATTATATAAATATTTACATATTTTTCAAAAATTTATTTTTAATTATTCTGGATTTAGTACACAAAAAATTGGATATAATCTAAAAGTGGATAAAATATATTGATTTTAAATTTATTTCGAAAATCGAGGCGATTTGCGGGTTGATTATAATCAAATATTTTTAAAATTTCAATTATTTTTTACAATATTAATATTTGGGTTTTATAACATTTTACTTATTTATTATGCGATTTAGGGTAGGGCGGGGCTAGTTGAGCAAATTTTTACTTAAACGGATGTAGCTCCTCAATGAAAAGTCTCAATAAATTGCTATACGGCTTAATGGATTTGTTGTTTATCGCTTAACAAAAGTGTTAATACCATTTTTTGGTAATAAGTAAAATTTAAAAGCTACATCTGTCTAAATGCAAAAAGTCAAGTATGCTCAATGTACCCCATAGGTGGGGCAAGTTGAGCACTAAGAAAGTATAATGAAATCATAGGTACAATGAAATAAAATAAGTTTTGAATAACCAGTTCTATATTTATAGTCTTTATTGACAGAGAAAACAAAACTTATAGTAATTTTCTTTGAATAATTAACCAAAAGTAGAACAAAACAATATCGTATCTTAGGAATTATTTTACCATTATATTCAGTATTTTTGATTAAAATCATTATTTCTTTATATTATTACTCAAAGACTTAGCTTAAATCTTAAAAATAATAATTAATTTCTGGAAGTTAATTGTTTTTGCTTAGTGACAGAACAAGTTTAGCAACTATGCTCAACTAACCCCAACTCGGAATTTCAAAATAAAAGTGAGTTTATAGAAATACCGTGAGAGTTATACCCAGAATCTCTGTGCCTATTAAAAGTACTATAAATGTATGGAAGAATAACATTTACCTGATTAAAAATGAATAACATTTGACTAAACCAGACGAAAACTCGCGATGAATTACTTTTTTACTTTTTGGTCTCAAAATAAACAAAACGCCCGTGAGCCTCACTCATCTGTCCAGCGGCCACTAGCTGTTTATTTTTCCCAAACCTCTGTCTTTCCGCCATATAATACTTAAACGGACGGTGAATAGTTTTCGAGATATTTCGATTGCTCAACTTGCCCCTATGCTCAACTAGCCACGCTCTACCCTATTCTATTGAGCAAATCATGCCATGTTGGATTTTTGAAATTTTAATTTAATTTAATTTATATCATTTGCAATATCCAAAATTGCGTCGTAAACTTCTCCTTATTGATATCGTAAGAGCCGAAATGTATTTATCCTTGCTTTACCGTCATATTCAGAGTATCAGTTTATTGTTTTAAAGTTAAATTTTTAACGTATTTTAAAAGTATTGTCCAAAAATCAGTAAAAAATACAAAGAAATTACACATTTCTTTAAATATATTGAAAAAAACTTATTATATTTGATATGTATTCTTTCTGCATAGTTAATAATTATTAAATGGACACCGCTAGGTATAAAAAAAGCCTTAAGATTTTCGTTCCAAAGTAAATTTTGCTTCCATTTTTTTATATTTGTTCCATTTCCATAACCCTAACCACGCATGTTTTCAACATTCAACATTCATCAGAAGCGAAACATTTGCAACAAAAGCAAAAGTTACAATTCAATTTCTCGGAATAAACATACCATTTTTTAAGCACTGACTCTCGATTTTTCATTTTCCCCATTATAAGTTGTTTATATTTTTTAACAAGTTCCGTTTCAACTAAATCAGCTCGCAATTTTTCGTCAATAATGCCCAACAATTAATTTAATCTTTCGTAGGTTTGAGCTTATGGGATTGAACACCAGACAATTTCTTCTTCGATTCCACAGTAACTTCAAACAAAGAAAAAATTTAATAAGTGAATTAAGCAATGGGCAGAGCTGTTATTTACTAATTTGCAGAGTTATTAATCAGTTAATTGTTTCTACTGATATCACATTGCAAAATAAATGTGAATAAATGCTTTTTGTGTCTCCGTATCCCTAATTAAGTTAGATTGTTTATTATCATTTATTAAGTATTCTAGATTTTATATAAAAAATATAAACATTATATTATAAATTTAATTTCCGAAACTCGTTTTGGCGCCCCCTAAGGCGTGCGCCCGCATTTTTTGCATGCATCGCATGCAAGGCAGGACCGGCCCTGTATTTATATATATATATATATATATATATATATTATATATATATTATATATATATATATATATTAATTTAGAAATATGAAGAAACAGCACTCTTTTTTTGCACTAATTTATTAAATAATAGGTTTGTCTCATCATCAGTGTATTATAATTTCATTCATAATTGCATTCAGTAAGAGGAACAAGTTGGAATTGTTAACACATAGTGCTATTTTAGATTTTCATATTTTAGATTTTAAATTATAATACACTGATGATGAGACAAACCTAGCCTCGAAACGTTTGTAAAATTATTATCATTTAATAAATTAAAACCAAAAAGAAGTGCTGTTTGTTCATATTTTTAAATTAATATATAGTTGATAAAAAAAATTACTGTATTTCTGGTTCAATTTCAATAGTGTCTTCCTCAGCTTCTGCATCAGATGTCCCATTTGCAACAGTTGATGTTACATGCCGAAATGCATGAAGCCAATCATATAAATTTATAAGCCTATAAAATAAATTTTATATTAAAATTTAAAACTTACACCATGTATACCAGGAAAAAGTCTGAACAAAAAATAAAATTATTTTTTTATTATCTTTTAATAATTATTATCCTCAAGTAATATTATCATTGTTAATACTATAAATATTAAATTACTAATATAACATTACAATTATACAAATAGCTTAACTTAATTATTCTTTTATTACCTCCCACACTCCAAATGCAATTTATAACCGATACAAATATCAGGCATAGTCGATATAATTTCATCTTTCACATCAGTAGCGCAACACGAGCACTGAAAGAGAAAATTCACCATCAAAATCACTTTAAAGTAAAATAATTTGATAGTTCACTTCACCACGAAGTGAAACTTCGTAATGCTGTAATCAAAATAAACAATCTACAACATTTTCAGTTCACAATATTCCCACTCAGTCTGCAATATACTCAATCAGATAATGTAAAACCATTTTCAGACTGCTTACAGAACTCTGGCAGTTTACAATACTCTCCGACAATTTGCAACATTTTCACACAGTCTACAACAACAAAATCTACAACATTCTAAGACTATCTACGACTTTATCTAACGGTTTACAAAGTTTTCAGACAATCTACAACATTCTTAGACAGTTTATAAGATTTTCAAACAACCCATAACATTCTCAGATAATCTATGACATTATCAGACATATTACAGCATTTTCAGAAGGTTTATAACATTCTCAGACAATTTACAATATTTTCAGAGAGTTTACAAAATTTTCAGACAATCTGAAACATTCTTAGATAGTTTACAAATTTTTCAAACAATCCATAACATTCTCAGACAATCTATGACATTATCACACATATTTCAGCATTTTCAGAAGGTTTATAACATTCTCAGACAATTTACAATATTTCTAGAGAGTTTACAAAATTTTCAGAAAATCTGAAACATTCTTAGACAGTTTACAAAATTTTCAAACAATCATAACATTCTCAGACAATCTACGGCATTATCAAACAGTTTACAGCTTTCTCAATTACCACATTCTCTTACAATTTATAACATTTTCTGACAGTTTAAAAAGCTTTCAGACAATATACAACATTCTCAGGTAGTTTACAAAATTTTCAAACAATCCACAATATTATCAACAATCTATAACATTCTCAGATAGTTTACAGCATTTTCAGACGATTCACAACATTCTCTTACAATTTACAACATTTTCAAACAGTTTACAAATTTTACAGAAAACCTACAACATTCTCAGACATTTTAGAAAATTTCCAACAGTACATAACATTGTCAGGTTTACAACATTCTCTTGCTATTTACAACATTTTCAGTTTATAAAGTTTTCAGACAATGTACAACATTCTTAGATAGTTTACAGAATTTTTGGACAATATATAACATTCTCAGTCAATTTAGAAAATTTTCAAACAATCCACAATATTCTCAGACAGTTTACGGCTTTCTCAGACCGTTTTCTTACAATTTATAATATTTTCAGACAGTTTCCAAATTTTTTAGACAATCTACAATATTATCAGACTGTTTACAGCATTCTCAGATGGTTTACAGCTTTCTCAGACAATTTGCAACATTTTCACACAGTTTACAAAATTTTCAGAAAACCTAAAACATTTTGAGGCAATCTACGACATTATAGCATTCTCAGACAATTTACAATATTTTCAGACAGTTTACAAAGTTTTCAGACAATTTACCACATTCTCGGGCAGTTTTCAGCATTCTCAGATGATTTACAACACTCTCATATAATTTACAACAATTTTAGACAAATTACAAAAAAATAAGGCAATTCACAACATTCTCAGATAATCTATTATATAATCAGACAGTTTACAGCATACTCAGATAGTTTATAAGATGGTTTACAACATTCTCAGACAATATTTTCAGACAATTTTTACAATTTTCAGGCAATCTATAACATTTTCAAACAGTTTTCAGACACACTAAAACATTTTTTTTTTCTTTCAAAAAAATTAACATAATTTTCAGACAATCTGCAACATTTTAAAACAATTTTCAGAATATGGTTATAATATGAAACTCTTTCAGACACTCCAGGCAACATCTTTTCATAATCAAGAACTCTTTCAGACATATTGCATATATAATCAAGAATTCTTTGAGACGATTCAGACAACATCTTGATATAATCAAAACAGAAAGAATTGTCTCTATAAGACAATTTTAAACTTGTTGAAACCATCTTCAATACCTTGATATGATCAAAGATGCTTGCAGACAATTTGCCAGATTTTTAAAGAATTTTACTCAGCATTTTCAGACATCCTGCTATAATCAAGAACTCTTTCAAACAATTTACAACATTTTTAGATTATCTACCACATTTTCAGCCAAAATTCCAACATCTTCAGACATCCTGCTTCAATTAAGAACTCTTTCAGACAGTACACAAAATTTTCAGGTAATCATCAGCCTTCTTAAGATAATCTACAACATTCTGAGACACTTAACAGTATTTCAGACATCTTGTTATAGCCAATGACTCTTTCAGACAATTCAGACAAAATCTCGTTACAATCAAGAACTGTTTCAGACAATATGCCAAATTTTCGGACAAAATTACTCAGCAACATCGTATGACATCCTGCTATAATCAAGATTTTTTTTAGACAATTTGCAACATTTTTAGACAATCTGCCATATTTTCACACAAAATTAAAGCATCTTCAGATATCCTGCTTCAATTAAGAACTCTTTCAGATAGTGCGCAAAATCAGGCAATCTTAAACATTCTCAAGATAATCTACAACATTCTCAAGCAGGTTACAATATTTTCACACATCTTGTTATAACCAATGACTCTTTCAGACAAGTCAGACAACATCATGTTATAATCAAGGGCTCTTTCAAACAATTCACCAGATTTTCAGACAAAAATACTCAGCAATATTGGACACTCTGCTTTAATCGAGAACTTTTTCTGACAATTTATAATATTTTTAAAGAATCTGCTACATTTTCAGACGAAATTACACCATCTTCAGACATCCTGTTGACTCAAGAACTCTTTCACACAGTTTTCATTATTTTCAGATGACGATTAACATTCTCAAAAAGTTTACAACATTTTCAGATAATTTACAACATTCTTAGACAATCTACCACATTTTCTTCATACATTTCCAGACATCATGCTATAATTAAAAACCGTGTCAGAAGATTTACAATATTTTTAGACAATCTACCATATATTCTTCATATATCTCCAGGCATCCTGTTATAATTAAGAACTTTTTCAGACAATTTACAACATTTTTGGACAATCTACCACATATTCTTCATATATCTCCAGGCATCCTATTATAATTAAGAACTTTTTCAGACGATTTACAACATTTTTAGACATTCTACCACATTTTCTTCATATATCTCCAGATGTGCTGTTATAATTAAAAACTTTTTTAGACAATTTACAACATTTTTAGACAATCTACCACATTTTCTACATATATCTCCAGACATCCTGTTATAATTAAGAACTTTTTCGGACAATTTACAACATTTTTGGACAATCTACCACATATTCTTCATATATCTTCAGGCATCCTATTATAATTAAGAACTTTTTTAGACAATTTACAACATTTTTAGACAATCTACCACATTTTCTACATATATCTCCAGACATCCTGTTATAATTAAGAACTTTTTCAGACAATTTACAACATTTTTGGACAATCTACCACATATTCTTCATATATCTCCAGGCATCCTATTATAATTAAGAACTTTTTCAGACAATTTACAACATTTTTAGACAATCTACCACATTTTCTTCATATATCTCCAGATGTGCTGTTATAATTGAAAACTTTTTTAGACAATTTACAACATTTTTAGACAATCTACCACATTTTCTACATATATCTCCAGACATCCTGTTATAATTTAGAACTTTTTCAGACAATTTACAATATTTTTAGACAATCTACCGCATATTCTTCATACAACACCAGACATCCCGCTATAATTAAGAACCCTTTCAGACGAGTTTCAACATTTTTAGACAATCTACCACATTTTCTTCATACATTACCAGACATCCCGCTATAATTAAGAACCCTTTCAGACGATTTTCAACATTTTTAAATAATCTACCACATTTTCTTCATACATCTCCAGACATCCTGTTATAATTAAGAACTTTTTCAGACAATTTACAACATTTTTAGACAATCTACCACATTTATTTCATACATCTCCAGGCATCTTGGATTTACAACAGTTTTAGACAATCTAGAACAATTTCAGGCAATCCTGCAACAGTTTCAGACAATCTACAACAGTTTCAGACAATCTACAACAGTTTCAGACAATCTACAACAGTTTCAGACAATCTACAACAGTTTCAGACAATCTACAACATTTTCAGACAATTTGCGAAATTCTAAGACATACTCGCTCTATTTGTTTCTATTCCGCGCTGGAATAAAAATAGCATTAGAAGTTTCACTTTAACAAAATATCCGTCCAACAATTACCTGGAGATAGCAACTAGGACTATTCAAAGCAGTGTGCAAAGTAGCCCTAGGACTGCCAACTATGTGTTGTTTAACAGATTCATGATCCGTGAAAATGAACAATTCATACAGAGGTAGAGATGTGGTTGGTGGATGAAGATAGTTCGAGAAACATTCTATTGTGAAATCGATTATAGACTTTTTAACAGCATCGTATTGAGAGTTTGTTTTTCTTTGCTTGGATGAACACTCCATCAGCATCTGGAAATAAGTTTATTAATTATAAATCTCATTTTAGTAAATATTAACTAGTTGTAAATGGCATTTTGATAAAAAAAGAGTTATCTCATAGAAGATAATCTCTTTAAATGCATTTACACCCAGCAATAAATCTATGCAAAAAAGAGGCATTTTGCCATGTGGAAAGTTGCATAAACTTCCTGGTAAGTGTGAATAATTGATTTATTCAATAATATGTATCTGATATTTATATGATCTACCTGCCTATTGTTCTGCCTATCCAACCGACTAGTTCTCTACATTTATTCCTGTCTAACTGTTTATTTGACTTCCTGTTCACCTATTTACCTGTCTACCTACCTATCTATTTACTTGTTTACAAGCTGACCAAGTCTTTTTTTTGACATTATTACCTGATTACCCGTCTAACTGTCTAGCTGCCTACCTGTCTACCAGACAATTTACAACATTTTTAGACAAAATTACAATATCTTGAGACATCCTGCTATAATCAAGAAATCTTTCACACAGTTTTCAAGATTTTCAGGCACAGTTATTGCTGCCACCCTGCTTATTAGTATACTTTTCTTACTTTCTGCCTTTTTACCTTTTTACTTGTTTACCAGTATACCTGTATATCTTTCTATCTATTTACAACTAATTTTATTTGTATATGAATCAATAATAATGATTTGTAAATATAATATTTGATTAACAAATGTCAATTTCTGCCTTTTTTCTGCATATCCAAAGTCACTGAACCAGCCTTTGCAAAAATGTGATCATTCCACTAACAAAAGCAAAAATAACTCTGTTTTCTCAAAAACTGTCATTTTTAGAACTTTTTGCTTTGTATCTCCCATACAGGTCAACCTCCCCTTTCCAAGAACTAATCAGCGCGTTTCGCCGGCATTACGAAAAGAATGTTTTTTGAATCAATCTAATCAGATGCTCCGTTCTTGCAAAAAATGAAGTACCATTTTCTGTACTTTTTGTACCGTATCTCCAAAGCAGTTAAACCTATCTTTGCCAAAAACTGATCACGTCTCCCTATCAATAGGAATCGAACGTTAAAATAGATTGAACTGTGCTCCAGAAAACGTCAAAAAAATTTGTATCTATTACTTACATAAACACACATACATGACATTATCAGACAATCTACGATTCAAATTTTCAAAAGCAGTTAAATTTGTTTCGCGAAAACAGCCAAGAAAATTTTTGCATTTTTTGCTAATTCTATACCATTCTAATACAATTTTTTGTAAGGTATGCCAAAATGTTCCGAAGGTTTCGAAACATAAAAATATTCAAAAATAATCCTATTAATTTTTTTTGCGATTACTATAACTTACCCTACAGTAAATTAATAATAATTAATAATAAAGTATTAAAATACTCACCTCTCTCATTTGGTTCCTGTTCATGTTACTTAAATCAATACTAATTTCCTCAATGGCATTCTCGATTACATTTGTTTGGTTCAACTCGTTCAATTGATTATAAATATTACTTAATACTTTTAAAGCCCTAGAATTTTTAATTTTCAGTCTTTGTTCCTCCAAAATATGTAGGATGTTGTTAATTTTTTCTGTAAACTCTGCTCGTGATAAGAACTGTAGCAGCTGCATGGTTTCTTTGAAATTGGTCTCCTCGATGATATTAGTTGACATAGCGCTGATGTATAATTCATGCAGCTAAATGAAATAAAATAGGTGTGAGTAGTATTTTATATCAAGGCAACTTAAATAATCGGCATAATCAATAAGATATATTGGTTATAGCTATATATTGAAATATAGCTGCCACGTAGTGAACAAAACGTTGCATTTACGTTGAAGTTGAACAAAGGTTACAACTGAACGTATTATAAACGTTCTATTGACGTAACCACCAACAAGGTAACGACGTTTCTTCTGTACTATGTAATTTTAATATTTGTAGTTTATTAGGTATTAACCCTTTCGACTCGGATGCCGCCACTCCGGCGGCATAGTCATTTTACCGTTGCGCTCGGATGCCGCCGTTCCGGCGGCATGATATGTTTTACCGTTAAGCTCGGATGCCGCCGCTCCGGCGGCAAATCGTGTCGGCGACGACTCGTCGCAAACTAAACTTACATTTAATTTTTTTTTATTTTTTAAAAATTAATTTACTATTACATTCATTTATTGATTGATTTATTAATTTTATAAATAAATATATAACAAAATTAATTTATTAGCTCATGATCCACATAATTCTAATAAAGATCTGTGAAGAAATGATTTTTTAAACAATATAGAGTGCAATTTTTTTTAATTTTCAAAATTTTCTATTTTATTATCATAATAACTATATTTAAAAGCAATATAACCACATTTTGAAAAAATCCGATACAAAAAAAAATTCCGAGTTGAGAGATAAGTATAGCACTATAATATTCCGAGCGCAGCGTACCCACTGGCAGTCCGACTCCCGAGTCGAAAGTGTTAATATAGAGAGAGTGATTGAGTTAAACTTTATGGCGCCATTATTCCAAATTTAACGATTTTTTTATTTCAACCAATTTGCGTAAGCTTCTAATATTTTTAGGATGCTTGTTTAGTGCATTAACTTTATCGCCATGTTAAAATTTCATGATAAACGGCAAAAAAATCTAATATCTAATTACGAAAAAATTGGGCAAATAATCTTAGCCAAAAATAATAAGCACAATTCCAAATAATATTTTTTGAACGGTTTTTCCATTTTCGAAATCGGTTAATAGTTTTTTTGCGTAAACGGTCACAATTTTTTTGCAATTTTTACTACCCAGCACTCAAGATACAATAATGTCATAGAATAGTAAATAGTATCCAAAAGGCACTAGAGAAAAAGGAATATTGTTCAGCAATATTTATCAATAAAAAAAAGCCTATTGTTCAAAATAAAAATAAAAATTGCTGCACAAGATATTTTTACTATTGAAATATTACTTAACAAACAGATTATTCAGGACTAGAGTTGGAATCAGAATTACATAATATCAAGTCTAGAGTTCCACAAAGGAGTGTTTTAGGGCCGTCATACGATCTTAAATAAAATGTCAAAAAAGAGGAGATATCTTTTAATATCTTTAAAGGCATAAAGACCAGCATATTGTCTTAAGAAATAATGTATATTTTAATTGATAAATATATGCAAACCAAAAAAAATTTTTTTTTGCTAATTCTGAAGAAACGATCAGCCCATCCTCTTAAAAAACTAACCATGCGAGTACTATTAGAGTTTCATCGAATGGCTTTTCAATTTTCAAAATCGGTTCAGCAGTTTTTGAAAAAAATGTTAAATGTTTTATCAAGTTCGGTGGCAAACGATTCACAAGGACTTGAAACGTCAAGAAAGAAAAATTAGCAAAAAGGGTTTTCTGGTGAAAACAAACTTCTCCTTCGAAAAGTCTATATTAATTTCAATTATTTTTAAAATAATATCAATAATAATACTCAATTAATAATAACACAGTTCCACAAAATAAAAAAAGTTGTAATTGGGCGTGCGGAATATATTCTCCAATGTAGTTTTGAAAATGAATCTGAAGTCAAAATTGGGGGTCAGATAACAAAAAATTGGGACAAAAAGATAAAAAATGACAAAGGTCTCCGATCTAGTTATTCTTCTGCATGATACTTAAAATCTTATAATTTTTGTCGTTGCCTAGCCCTTTTTACCTTAAATGACTATAATCTATTTATTTTGTAGAATTGCCAACACATTTTCCCCATTGCCCTTGAGAAAATATGCTTGCAAATTACTGCTGAATTATACAAAAAAAAACTTGAGAGATCATTGAATTGGAAAACGACAAAAACTGTGAAATTTTGATTATTATGCAGAAGAATTATTAGATCAAAGATTTTATCGTTTCTTTAGATTTTTTTTTAATTCGTTGCCATTTGACTTTCAATGCTGACTTCAAATTCGAGTTTGGCAGTAAAAACTACATTGGAGTATATATTCCAATGTAGATTATTCCAATACAGATTTTTCTTTTAAGTCTGGTCGATCAAAAAATACCTGGAGACCTAATATAGTTTAATTAACTATAATTCTTTCACTTTACTATATTTTATTGTTTTTTTTCCCTTTTGTTTCTAGTTTTTTTATAATATTAAGTAGCTCTAGTAGATAATCCACTTGGGATATCTACTAATTTGTAATCAACTATTTTACCATATACTTGTCAGAATTCTCTGCTAAATGTAATAATTTATATAGATTGCAGAATAAAATTGAATAAAAAAACAAATACAGATAACTTTTATTTATTTTGTAGATCTGTGTAATTATATCAAGTTTAAATATATAACTTCTTAAGACTTACCTTGTTTCCTAAAGGATTTTGTGGCAGATCATGCACCATTTCGAATAAAATCTTCAGATTTAAATGAAAACAAATCAAATAATCTTGGATATTCGATATTAACTCGGGTATCCTGTGAAATACAGCTTTGTCTTTCAATAACAGATCTATTCGCATTTGATAATCATTCTGAGACTCCACCAAGTACCTAAACTGATAAAATAATTAGTTATCATAATAATAATTTTATAACAAAATACATAAAGTTTAAATTTTACTATTAACTAGTTAGCTGTGATTGACGAATATACTCGTCATGCTGAGTGGCAGAATTTTGGGTATTGACGATTGTACTCGTCATGAGTAAAAAACAATGATAATTTGCTATTGAAATCGAAATTTTTGAAATAAAACAAAGTATATTCTGTATTGATAGGTTAACAATTGTTTAGAATATTTTGAGCCTATGACTATATAAAGTAAATAGCTGTAAGTATTTATCTTAAAGCTGTATTTATTTACCTTAAAGCAAGTTGCATAGACTTAATAATTAACTAATTGAATAAATACTTAAAGGAAATAAACTAATCAATAAGAATTAGGATTTAGCCATTTAAACTAGTGGTGTAGGCATCGTTAAGGCAAATTGCTGGAACTTCCCGTACCGTAATGAAATATTCAAAAAATATTAAATGCTTTCAAATAGATTATTATAAATACTGTAACTATTAAATATATTATTTGTATTTTATAGACAAAATATAAGTGCCTATAAATTCGATGACGACGTTTATTAGTGCAGTAAACGGAGCGTTTTAGGTTTGAATTTTTTTACTGTGCTCCGAATTGAATGAAATTTTGGAATTAGGTTCATCTTACCCTCAAGTTCAAAAGTGAAAACAATTCAGGTTGCGCCATCACCCCCCGGGGTAATGACACCCCTTCTCAATTATGTTATTACATTTTTACAAAATAACGTCGGAAATCGATAGAAGAACTAATTATAAGAAGAAAATGTCTTTTATAGTTTTTCAAAAAAACTAATACTTTTCAAGTTACTGGCCACTAAAGATTCATATATTTTTGGCGTTTTTCTTCGTTTTTTTTGCAAATATCTCCTAAAATATACATTTTTAACGAAAAACATGTAATGAACAAAATAATGTCAATAAAAACTTAATAAATCGGTATTACATAAAGTGTTCTAAACTTTTTTTGTAATTTGCGCGGCCGCGCAGTCTTTAAACATTCATAACTCTGTCAAATTTTGTGTGAAAGAAAAATAATGAAAAACATTAAGCCAGAAAGCTCCCTTTGATTTTTATCTATTTGCATTTATACGTATCTTTTATTCTTTTTGAGATATAATGAAAAAAAAATCGATTTTTAAAAAAATTGGAAAAAAAAGTTTTTATAAAATCGTGAGTTTTCTGAAAATAGTTTGTACTAAAGTAGTGAATCTGCTAGAATCCATCAAGATGTCTATAATGAAGTGAATTCTAGATAGAATGTGAATTACTTTAATTCTGGTGGAAATGGCGCTCATTAAACCATATGATTTAAAAGAAAAAAACTTCGTATATGCTTCTTATTTGCATGATAGCTCACTCATTTTACACGTAAAAAACTTGTAACAGCACTTATTTTAAAGCTTATGTTGAACACTATAAAACCCAATTTTACCGAAATGCATAAAATGTAAAACCTCGACACTAGATGACTTTAAATACAACAATTAAATCTTGAACGAAATAAAAAACGATTTTGCTCTTTCAAATCTAGCTTAATATTACTCCTAAAACACTTTTTGAAACACCAATTTATTAAAATTTTTATTGACATTATTTTGTTCATTACATGTTTTTCGTTAAAATGTATATTTTAGGAGATATTTGCAAAAAAACGAAGAAAAACGCCAAAAATATATGTATCTTTAGAGGCCAGTAACTTGAAAAGTATTAGATTTTTTGAAAAACTATAAAAGGCATTTTCTTCTTATAATTAGTTCTTCTATCGATTTCCGACGTTATTTTGCGAAAATGTAATTACACAATTGAGAAGGGGTGTCATCCCCCCGGGGGGTGATGGCGCAACCCGAATTGTTTTCACTTTTAAACTTGAGGGTAAGATGAACCTAATTTCAAAATTTCATTCAATTCGGAGCACAGTAAAAAAATTCAGAGGTTATACCCTTTTTTCCTCTCCGTTTACTGCACTATATATGTTTACATGAAATGTAAATAAACAAAACTTATTCAAGCGGAGTTATAATTAAAGAACCTTATCTCATATTTCTAAAAAAATATACAAATTGAATTATAAAGTTAAAATTATTTATTTCAAGTATATGAGTGAGCTTCAGAATTGTAGCTAGAATTAAAATTAAAATCCAAACCATATTTTCAATATTTGAAATAAAAAGAATTATAAATTTGAAAAAAGTTAAAATTCGACATAAAAAAACTTTTTTTTTGACTACCCCAAAAACTAATAGTTTCTTCACAAACATAATGTTTTTTCAATCAAAAATTTTCAATTTCAATTTTTGGATGATTACTATAACTTACCCAATGGGAACTTAAAAAAAAAATAAGAGTTTTTAAGAGAACGGAGCATCTGATTAGAGTAATTCAGCAAACATTTTGCATGTTTTAACGGCGTGAAAAAATGATTAGTTTCTGGGAAAAGCATTTCCAGCGATTTCAAAATGTTGAAAAAATTCAAAATAAAAAAAAATCATTTTTTTTATTTTTGTACATTTTAGAAATTTGTCAGATATTTTCAAAATTTAAAAAATAAATTTAAGCACTATCGAAAGAGAATATAGTGTTTTATTAAAATTTCAAAAATATACAAACTTTTTTTAAGAAATTTTAGAGTGTTACTTATATAGTTGAAATAAATAATAGATGTCCATCCTTACCAATTAGCAAGTCAAGTCTACCTGAAAAGCCAGCCGACCAGACTTAAAAAAAAAATACCTGAAAGCCTAATATAGTATAATTTTAACTATAATACTTTCTTTTTGCTATATTTTTTTTTCTCCTTTTTGTTTTTATTTTTCTTGTTATCATATTTTAATTAGCTGGGTGCATCTATTAATTTGTAATCAACTTAATTAACTTCCCGTAGGGTAAGTTATTGTAATGGGCCGAAAATCGGAATTGAAAATTTTTACATTTCTCGACGTTTTGAAGGTTTCTGAACGTTTTGGCATACCTCAGAAAAAATGGATGTGTGTGTGTGTGTGTGTGTGTGAGTGTGTATGTATGTATGGATACAAATTTTCGCCCACGTTTTAGGGCGTACGGATTAACCGATTTGAATGGTTCAAAAAACATTCGATTTCTATTGATAGGGAAAAGAGCTGATTAGTTTTTGGCAAAGGCAGGTCTAGCCGTTTCGGAGATACAGAGCAAAGAGTGTAGAAAATAAAAATCGAATTTTTGAGAGTACGGAGTATCCGATTTGAATGATCTAAAAAACATTCAATTAGTAATGATTAAGAGAAGTGTTTATTAGTTTTTGGCAAAGGCAGGCCCAGCCATTTTGAAGATACGGAGCTAAATATGTAAAAAATGGCAATTTTTGAGAGAACTAAGGGGCCGATTCAAATGATTCAAAGAACTTTCTGCTTGTCTTAACAAAATAATTGATTTTGGAAAAAAAAATTTTGCTCTTTTTTTTTTTTTTTTTAGTTTTTTGTATATCGAAAATATTTCAGATTTTATTTTTAATTCTGACAATAGTTCTAATATACTTTACAAATAATTTCAACTCTGCAATTCAGTTTATATAATTCTTATAAATATTAGACAATGCTACAATATTTACAATAATCTATTTGAAAACATTCAGTATTCCTCGAACATTTTGTTACGGTACGGGAAGTTCCAGCAATTTGCATTAAGGCACGATGCCATAATTGCCTCAATACAGAATTCCACTTACAGCTAGTTTTATCATATATTTGTCAGCATTTTCCGCTTAATGTAATAATATGTACAGATTGCAGAATAAAATTGAATTGAAAAAAAAACTTTCTAATTCAATTTCATAATGCTCATATAATAATAATAAGAAAAATAAAATAAGGTTCTCAGAAAAATTCCGATTAGGTTTGGTCTATTATGTTTTTTGGTTTCTTGTAAACACATATACAAGACGTCGCCCAAATATAAGCACATTAAATCTATAAAATATGAACAATTAAGTTTACCGTATTTGTAATAAATATTTGAAATATTCAAGAAAATTGTTATTAATCATTGATTAACTATTATTAATTATTTTTATTCCTCAAATGTTTAATTACGGTACACAAAATCTAGCATTTTGCCTTGTACCACAAAACCGTACACCACTAGTTTTGAAAATAGTTTTTATATTTTGTTGATACATAGTAGATTTAGTACTAAATAAAAGTCAGTTTCAAGATATACTAGAAACCAGGTAAAATTATTAAAGCAACTAAAATACTATCTCTGATTATTAAAGCAACTTACTGATGGCAGCCTTCGTATTTCTTCAACATCATCAGGTGTCAAATATTCTTTCAATGCTCTAGAATCTATAAAATCATTATTGCATACTATTGCCGCATGCAGATTGGAATAATGATGCAACATGATGTACTGCAATGAAATAAATTAGTAAAATTTTATTATAATACTGGTGATATAAGATACTTAAAAAAAAAACAATGTTTACCTTAAAACTGTTTAGAAAACCTTCCACAGAAAAATCATAGAACATAAATACATCGACTAATAATTTTAAAGATGATCCTGATAAATGAAATGGACATGATGGATCTAGTAGAACTTTTTCTAATATCTAGAAAAGAAATTATATATATATATATATATATATATATATATCATATATATATATCATATCATATCATATTAACCAACTCAAACATAACATTGATTTTTTCAATCCCACGATCCTACATTTCGAAAATAATTTATTTAAAAGACGATTTAGTGAAGGATGCTTAATATCTTTACACAAGGATACAGCCATAAATTTAAGAACTGACAACAATTCGCTTTGCAATGACTATAAAATAACTCTCGACTATTTTCAAAAACGTCACCATATCTGAATGAAGCGTGTATTTTTATTACTTTATTATTTTACAAAAAACATATGTCTGCTGGTCTTTTTACACTTTCTCAAAAAATTGTAAACACAATTCATTCAGTTTTTAGACATTAGTCAACTTGTACACACTAGAATGTAAGGAAAAAAATTGTTCAAAAAAATTAATTAGTTTAAATGTTCCAATTATTAATAGCCTGGTTTATCACAGTATAATAGTGTAGTGTATTTTTTGTATAATTAATCCTGTAAGTACTTATATATAAGTTATAACTTTATATTATTTCCTCCTACATCATATAAAATCTTTTAGTTTTCCACTGAATGACGGTCTCGATGAAGACCGAAACGTATGGATAAATAAAGTACTTAAAAACTACTTTAGTTTTTTTTCTTTACTTGGTGTTACTGCCCGATTTTAAATAACCTATCAAAATATAATATCAACACCAAACTCACATATTTCAAAATATATATATATATATATATATATATATATATATATGTATATCTTATATATAAAATTCTTCTGTAATGATGTATGTAAACATACTCCTCTTAAATGATTATTCGGATTTTGATAAATCTTTCTGAAGTTTGTTAAGGAATTTTTTTAAGATGTATGTGATTATAAAAATATAGTAATATTGTAGAAATAAATGGAAAAAATGCAAAAGACGACATGTCATTGTTTGACATTGAAAACAAATGAAAACTGTCATCTGCCAAAAATTTCAATTTTCTTATAAGCCTAGACAATATTAGAATATGTATAATAAATTCATGATTATGAATAACAAAAATGATATGTCTACATTATTATTGCCAAAAAGAAGCTGAGATGTGCCAGAAATTAAAATAATATAAGATACAGTATATGTATGGCAGATTATAGAATTTGACAAATTAATTCACTTAAAATATAAAATTAACTAGTAATCAGGGCCGGATATGAAATGTATAATATAGTTTTTTTTTTCAATTCAAATTTCAAATTCAAGAAATATATAATATATCAGATATATTTGATTACCTGATTTAAAGTTTCCCTTGACGACTGCGATGAAAAAATTTGCAAAAACATTTTTGATGTTATATGATGCGGTAAGGTTTTATGAACTGTAGAAATTGATGTCGCTACTCCAAACAATAGAACAAATGGTATTGAATTGGAATAACCACTGCAAATGGAAAAAAATATATATACTAGTCGTAAGTGGCATTTTGCCGTAAGACTAGTTGTATAAACTTTTTGATATGTGTAAATAATCGACTTGATCAATAAGAGATCGATATATTAATTTATGATTGCTTTATATGTATACCGAGATGCTATAAAGATACTTATAAATTAAGTTAAACAAACTACTGAATATTATAAAATTTTGTACATTTTTTATATTACACATCATTTATTACAAACACGCATTCAAGATATACACTGGGTATTTTCTAAAAACGCGTCCTATTTTCTAAGACTTTTTCAAAATTCCAGAGAACAGTTTAAAAAAATGCCATTTGGCAATCGAAAATCAAATATTTGCGACACTATGTATGAGCTGACATGAATGGGTAGCAAAAACCTACAAAAAATTTCAAAATTTAGAAAAACTATTGGTGCATGGCATTATGCCTTAGAGCAAATATCTAGAACTTTCCATACTGTAATGAAATATTCGAGGAATATTAAATAATTTAAATAGATTATTATATTATAACATTATACAATAGTTTTAGAATTTTAGCTAGAATTAAAATTAAAATCCGAATCATTTTTGACAATCAAAATAAAAAGAAACTGGAAAGTATTTTTTTTTAGATTTCAGAAAATATTTTTTTGCCTTCCTGAACTAATAGTTTCTTCACAAGCAAAATGTTTTTTGAATCATTTGAATTGAAAGCTTTGTTCTCTCAAAAATTGCCATTTTTTACACTTCTAGCTCCTTACGCTGAAATGGCTGGGCCTGTCTTTGCCAAAAACTAATTACCACATCTTCTCATCATTACAAATTGAATGTTTTGCCAAAAACTAATCAGAACTAATCAGTCTTCCTATCAATAATAATCAATTGCTTTTTGAATACTTCAAAAAGACACACTGCCAAAATGTTCAGAAATCTCTAAAACGTAAAAATACGCACAAATTTTCATTTTCGATTTTTGGATAATTACAATAACTTACCCCACAAAGTTAGAGAATATAAAAAAATTCAGTTTTCAGAAAATTGTTCAAGTTTTTTTAAAAAATAACAGTTTTTTTATATTATCAAAAAATTTCATAAGAAAGAGATTTTTAACTTCCCGTAGGGTAAGTTATTGTAATCGTCCAAAAATCGAAATTGAAAATTTTTGCATTTCTCGATGTTTTGAAGGTTTCTGAACATTTTGGCATACCTCAGAAAAAAAATTGTGTTTGTGTGTGTGTGTGTGTACGTATGTATGGATACAATTTTCCAGTCACGTTTTCGAGCTCAACGGATCAACCGATTTGAATGATTGAAAAAACATTCGATTCCTATTGATAGGGGAGATGAGCTGATTAGTTTTTGGCAAAGGCAGGTCCAGCAGTTACGGAGATAAAGAGCAAAGAGTGCGAAAGAAATCGAGTTTTTGAGAGAACGGAGCATCCGATTTGACTGATCTAAAAAACATTTAATTTGTAATGATTGGGAGAAGAGATGATTAGTTTTTGGCAAAGGCAGGCCCAGCCATTTCGAAGACACAAAGCTAAATGTGCAAAAAAAAAGCAGTTTTTAAGAAAACTAAGCGTCCGATTTAAATGATTCAAAGAACTCTCTGCTTGTTTTAACAAACTAATTGAGTTTGGAAAAAAAATTTTGTTTCAAAATTTTTTTTTTTCAAAAAAAAATTTTTTTTGTATATCGAAAATAATTCAGATTTTAATTTTAATTCTGACTTAAGTTCTAATATACTTTAAACAAATAATTTCAACTTTGCAATTCAGTTTTAATTCTTATAAATATTAGACAATGTTATAGTATTTATTTATAATAGTCTATTTGAAAATATTTAATATTCCTCGAACATTTCGTTACAATACGGAAAGTTCCAGCAATTTGCCTTAAGGCACGATGCCATACACCCCACTAGTTTTCGATTTTTTTCAATAGTATCCAAAATTTTCAAGAAAAATCAAAATTTAATTTAATAAATCTTTTATCTTATTTTCATTTGACCACGACACAAAAGTTAGGTATCTATTTGAACAAGAGTGTGTATGTCTATTTATATTACCTTAGTAAAAGTATAAAATCCTGCAATACTGTAGCATTAAAATTCTCAAAATCTGGTAAAATAACAACAAATGGCTTTGTCGAAGGTTTTGTTTTTTGTTTCTTCGTTGGTGACATAGAATGTTTATGCGCATAGTTATTTTCATACCAAGATTTTAAAACAAGTAGATTATATTGGTATTTTCGCAGCGAATTTGGTAACTCCAACTGAAAAAAAAAATTAAATTAATAAATAATTTAAAACAATATATAAATAGATATGTGTTATTACTTCTTCATTTTCTGTTAAAAACTGCATAACCATGTTCTCGACTGCACTTTTTATACTAAGACAGCCTCTTGCAAATAATATAGCAACGTGTGGTGTTACTTGATTCCTTAATTCTCGTGCCAAGCTGTTGATTTGTTCGGCATGATCAGGTTGATTGATTCCTGTAACAATACAATTAATGTAAAAAGGTAGATATTAATTTATTGGATATATATTTTATTACCTGTGATCAGAACAGCAGTTGGCAAACTATCACAATCAGTGTGTGTCTGTCTCATAAATTCAATGACATCTTGTAAAACATTCATATACGTCCTATGAAGTAGCTTTTTGATTTTGTCTTCGATACCTTTCCATGATTCCTTATAACACTGGTACCAGGGCAGATTTGAAAATAAATTAATGTTGCTTTTGACACCAGCTTGTTTCGATTTTGAATTCTTGAATATAAAACAACCCTGAAACAATTGAAAAAATTTCATATTAATATAAAAAAAACATGATATAAAACGCTTTTAGTACATGATAGCATGGCATTAACCAGTTTTCAAAAGTAAGTGCTTGCATAAAGAAAAGAACAATTTCAAGAACTACCAGATGGCAAAGACGATACAACTTTTATTTAATAATGAAGATTGTCTTTCTTTCCTTGGATGATCATTTGAAAAATTGTCTTTCTTCTCTCCGATCTCAATAATCTAATTTATTTAATAAAGTGGATTTACAGAATTGACAATAACCAGCAAAATATCTTGAAGAAATACAGAAATAACTATAAAAAAATTTATATATATATATATATATATATATATATAAATATATATATATATATATATATATATATATATATATGTGTGTGTGTGTGTGTGTAAAATTCTCATGATGGTAGTGGAAATACTCCTCTGAAACGGCTTGACCGATCATAATGAAATTTTGCAAGTGTGACTGAGAATCTGGCATCTATTTTTCATAAGCCTAAGTGGTAAGGGTTTGCCACTCTCAAGATTTTATTTTAGTTTTTGGACCATTTTTTATATAGTTCGTAAATAAAAAGCACATACAGCCCTAAATTTTCACCCTCCTACCACAATCCCCTATTTTCTAATAATCATTTTAGTAATCGAATAATTTTTCATCTCGCTTTGAGTCAATGATTGAGTGTTATTACCAAATTTCAGTTCAGATTTCTGGAGCTTAAAGAAATGCCTCAATTTTAGTATAAAAAACAAATTATTTCTATCAAGGATCGCCGCTAAAACTTTTTGTTGGATTTTCTTAATTTTATTTCATAATATGCAAAATTTACAAATGAAACATTTTCACTCGACTACCACAAATACCTATTTCATAACAATCATTTTAGTGATCAAATCATTTTTCACCTTGCTTTCAGTCAGTGAATGTTTTTCACTTAATTTTTATTTAGATTTTCTCGAGTTCATAGTAAATGAAGACGAAATGAGAAAGATGAAGTATGTTTGTTTGAACAAGTTTACATTATTGAATCAGACAGGGTCCAAAGAGAGAAATATCAAGTATGTTTGTTCAAACAAGTTTCCATTATTCAAAATTTATATTTATATTTTTATTTACAAAAAAGAATATTTTTATTAAAGATTGAATTATTGTCTTTATTGAAAATGGATTTAATTTTATTTCAATAAAAATATTCCCTGGCTTGTGGAGAAGCTAAATTTTTTCTACAACAATAATTTATTTGTAATAAAGTATCAAGACAGTTTACAATAAAGGAAAATATTGCAGAAAGAGCAGAAATAAATGTAGATTTTGAATATAAAAATCTAAAGATTCAATAAAAAAATTTTGAGAAAGAACTAGGCACCAAATAAATCTATGACAAAACTGTAAATATTTACAGAGAGTTTTAGAAATCTCATTTAATTCCCTAGGCATGCAACAACATACATCAAAAATGTATATTCGGATTTTTATTATTCAAAAATGTATGATTAACGAAAAGAGCGGAAAACCATCGTCTATCAGGTTTTAGCCCTGAACACCATGGTTGTCCAGGTTGAAAGTGTAAAAAAAACAGAAAATTAAACTTGTTCCTGTAAGCTTTAAATTTTTATATGATTTATTTTATTAATTGAGAAGTTCAGAAATCAAATTGCCAGACCATTTCAACCTGCACAAGTACCTACCACACGAGACATAAAGGCCACTCTTGTAAGCAAGATGTATACACATTGCAATAAAATTTGTTCTTTAAGGTTAAAATTCATATATGCGTTTGCCCAAGCGATTTTAAAAAGGTATGCGCTATGCCAGACGGTTCTGTCCAGCCGAAGCCCTCACCAGGGACCCACATTGTTCCACAATGATTATCAATATGCCCCATGAACATTTATTTGTGGCATGCTTTACAGTGGATAAACCATTCATATTTTTTATACATACATACATACATACTTCCGCATTCACAATCAGTTGTTTATACTAAAAAAATTCTAGAAATAGTTTCTATGGCTATACAACGTTTGCCGGGACAGGTAGTAATTCTATTTAATATAGATTATAATAATAAAAGTTATAATTGGATCATTAGAAAGTTGCCAATTAAGACATTGAATCTTAGTTTCAGATTAAGCTACCACTTCCAATATAACCCATAAAACATTTATATGTGGCATGCTTTACAGTGGGTAAACCATTCATATTATTTGTGTTAGCTTCTTCCTTCATTTATACTTCCACATTCACAATCAGTTGTTTTTAATACTAAAACTTTTAGAAATACTTTTTATGTCTAAACAATGTTTGCTTTTATTTATTTAAATTTATATTATTATATTTTAGCAGTTGTAATAATTAAAAAAAAAAAAAAAACAGAAATGTTTGCCGGGAAAGCTAGTAATTCTATGAATTGCGTATATAGATATCATAATAATAAAAATTATAATTGGATCATTAGAAAGTTTCAAATTAAAACTTTAATAATAAATAGAAGGACTGAATAGAAATGTATATAGTGCATATTTTACGTTGATATACTGTTCATACTGTAGTTAATTGTGCAATGATTCACAAAAAAATTGGCATCAAAAAATGCAAAAAACAATTTATGGAGAGACATTAAATATAAATTTTACTGTATCAGTAAGAATTGCTATAAAATATTATACACTAACTTAATAAATGAACACTTAGAAAACAATAGACACACAAATTGCAATATTTATAGACTTAAAAAAAGCCTTCGACACTGTAGACCACCAAATTCTTTTTCAGCAACTTAGAAATATGAGACTTGAGGGTACGATGCACAACATAATTCAAGACTTCTTATCTGAAAGAGAAGTAAGGACCAAAATAGGAAATTGCTTCAGCTATAAAAAATTGGTCAAAGTCGGAGTACCACAGGGAACAGTCCTAGGTCCACTATTATACTTAATATATATTAACAACTTAAAGGACAAAAATTTAGAAGGTAGACACATAGTGTACGCAGAAGACACCATGATTGATAAAGATTTGGAGAAACTAGAAAATAAAATCAATGATGACTTAAAAAAATATACAACATGGCTGACAGAAAATAAACTCACTATAAATACAGATAAAACTAATTATATATATTTTCGACGTAACAAAATTAAAAAAATAGGCAATATAAAAATATTAATCAACAAAACTGAAATAAAAAAAATAGAAAAAACTAAATATTTGGGTATGATTATAAACCAGAAACTAGAATGGAGTGATCAAATTGAAAAAATCAAACAAAAAATTGCAGCACTTTCTGGGATCATGAGAACAATATGACATCTTGGAATTAAGAACAAGGCACTAATATTAAAATCTCATATAATGCCGATTATGACGTACGGCATCACGATTTGGAGTCAAACAACAAATAAAAATATAAAGACACTACAAAGAATGATAAATAAAGCAATAAAATCAACTTACAATTATCCCTATCTCACCCCGACAAAAGAACTTCTACAAAATACAAAGAACATACCACAAAACAATAGAAATAAAAAAATGTATACTAATATTCAAAATAAAAAATAACAAAATCAAAACTTGCACCACAATAGAGACAAACCAGGATATACACGACCATCAAACGAGACAAAACCGAAACTTTCACATGAAACAAGCAAAAACTAGTAAAGGACTTGCAAGTCCTCTGAGAAGTGCAAGCAGCCTTTACAATGAACTACCGGACGAACTAAAGAGAATGACTGACATAAACAATTTCAAAATTAAATTGAAAAATTTCATAAGAAATAAATGAAATAAATTAGATAAAATTCCTTATTTTAAAAACTATATTACTTCTGCTCTGTTAAAATATTAATTACAATTAAGTATAAGTACGTGTGTATGTACGCAGGCGTTCTGTGTATATATGTGTATATAATAGTAATAAGTAAAAATATATAGATGTCTTAATGTAAGTCTGTTATATAAAATTTAGATTTATTTTTGTTATAATTGCTGTGATCTCTCATACCGAGATACAGTATGTATGAATTATATCAAATAAATAAATAAATTAAAAAAAAAATATATATATATATATATATACGTATATATATATATATATAGTCCGTCAGAAATAATGGATGAATTTAAGACAATCATTGTTTCTATATGAATGGGGATAGAAAAATGTATAGGGGCTTTGTGAGTGCACTTATTAATAAAGGTTTAGTAACTTTATTTTCAAAGACAAGTGAGTGCATGTTAGGTCATTCTTCAATGTCTTTACAGAGAAGCTAAATTTTTTCTACCACAATAATATATTTTTAACGAAGTATCAAGACAGTTTGCAATAATGTACAAATATTGCAGTAAGAGCAGAGATAAATGTGGAGCGTTAATATGAAAATCTAAAAAATTCAATAGTTTATTTATTTTTTTGGTGCTCGCATTATTGAGTATGGATACCATAATTTTATGAAGAGAATGGTATTGTCATAGTAGCATCTGGTCATTATGTTCACATGTCACAGACTTTCAAGCAAAATTGGAGCAACCCAATGGTTTCAAAAAGACGAAGCCACTTTCTACAGATTATGTGAAATCATATGTCTAACAACTGTCACTACCAGTGACATAATATGGCCAGCGTGTCCGATTTAACCATGAGGTTATTTTCTATGGGTCATCCTAAAAAATAGAGCGTACCATTACTGTCCTCAAAACATCTATGCCTTAAAAGCAATCAGAGCAGAAATTCCAAGGATACATCTAGAAAAGACGACAAGTGATATGTAAAGCTTCAGAGATCACTTAACCCTCTGTATCGCAAACAAGAGACACCATTTGGAAGATATTAATTATCAATTTCAACACACAAACTTTTGAGTAATGTCATCGTTTAATATTCATAGTTCTTGTGAATCCATCTATTTTTCTGCCGAGCCCTGTATTACAATACAAAATATACATCTGGTACTGCAAGTAAATATAT